TTTTCTAACACTGATGTTTCTGATATATTATGATATTTAAGAGGTTTGTATTGTTTCCTGTATTTTATATGGAAACTGCCCAAAGAAGTCTGGCTACTGAGCAGTATAGAAATAACATGAGTAACACCACCACTACCCCACTGTGGAATTCTGGGGTACATCATCTCCTCTACAGGTCTTTGCCTGCATCCTCAAATGGTCCAGGGCATTCTGGATTGGGAAGCTCCCAAAGATCTGAAGGGTGTTCAATGAATGTAGCACAGCTTCTTCCAAATGGCTTACATTCCTTTCTGAAATACCAGGTTTGTATATTATTAACACTTTGTGATCTTGTCTCTTGAGGTATAAGTACCTGTCAACCATTGTAACTTCTCCAAAGAAAAGATAGTCAGACCTCAGTTTTCATGATTAGCAACCTCAGACTATTAGAGTTCATTATAAATGGGCTCCTCTTTGAAGAATGATTGTGAGCTACAGATAATTTACCTGTAGTTTACCATGTTTGGTAATATTAGACTATTGCAGTGTACTGTAATTGGGTTTACCTTTGGTGATTGATTGGAAACTACAGTAGTGAAAAATATAACAAATTAGGGATCAGGATCGTAAGGAATATAGCTAATCAGTTTTGAAACAGCTATATTGTCTGGAGAAAGCTGAGGTGGGAGGGGAGAGGGTGGCTGAGGGTTGCATCTGCCTGATCATCTCCCTCAGTCCCATGTAACATAGTCTTCACCGTTTAGCAGAGTCACCCAGTCCTCTGTGTATCATTTGGGTCAAGATGGCCAAAGTAGTTGCCATGGACAGAAGAAACAGAAAGCATAGCTTCTTCGTCATGGCCTCTGTGCATCACACATATGGGTGCTGCGCCTGCGCAGTGCCTTTGGCCAGAAGATTACAAGCTAACGGTTTTTGGCGGGAAAGCTCTGCTCCCCCTCCCCCGTGGCCTATAAAGAGCGGAGCGTCCATTTTGTTCAGTCTTTGTGACCGCCGTTCACTGTGCCTCATGCCGCTTTTGACTATTGCTCTGACCATTACTCGTATAGTACTATTCTTCTCTATTATTCTCCCAGTTATTATATCCCTGTTAGTTCTCGTTGTCTCTATAGTTCTTGTTAGTTCTGTAGTTCTATCGTTCTACCTTTCTTTCGATCTTCTATAAAAAAAAACAAAAACAAAAATATATTCTTACCCTCTGAATTCTTGTGATGGCGTAGCGAGTGGCTTTCCACAAATGCTCGGAATGCGGGTCAAAGATGTCTCCGTCTGACCCGCATGACCTATGCCTCCTCTGGCTGGGGAAGGGGCATAGGAACGACAAGTGCTCTTACTGCCTGGCCTTCTCTAAGCAGGCCAGGAAAAATCGTGAGAACCACCTCCGGAGGCTCCTGTGGGATCGGGCTCTCATGCAGTCCGACCCACTTGTTGTCGCTCCGAAGTCTGGTCCTACCACGGTGGTCCCACCCTCACGCCCTTCGGACGAAGGTGCATCTACCATGAGGGTTCCACCCACTTCTCCGAAAAAGAAGCGTGAGAAGCGCAAACATGCTGATACCGAGAAATCAGCAAAGAAGGCCAGAAAAGAGAAGCCTCCTAAACTGACCCAGAAGTCGAAGGACCCGGAGCACCCTTGACACCGTGACTCGGGTTCGATGGCCACCTCGGTACCAGCAGCAGCTACCGTACCAACCCCACCCGAGCCGGTACTCCAGGCAGCTATGAGGGTTACGCCCCAGTGGTCCCCTCGATGTGTGGCCGACCTTCCCACCAAGCCGCTGCCAACTCTTCAGCGGGGGTCGATTTCTGATGGGGAAATTCAAGACTCTCCCCACAGGGCTAGGTCACCCACGCCTATGCCCATGACCACGACGGAGGCGGATGTGGTCATATCCCCGCCTAGGGTCCGCAGGAGCCGCTCGAGGGAGCAGCGATCCAAGGAATGGCATCGCTCCTACTATCCATCCTGGGGCGAGCCATACTCTACCAGGTACTATCCCGCACCGAGGGATCGGTTTCCACCACCCTCCCGCGACCGCCCGCTGTCGTTGGACCCGAGGCGCGCATCCCTGATTCCTCAGAATGAGAGTAGCCGGTCTGTCTCGCCAGTGGAGTCCTCCTCTTCGGCTCCCCCGTATTACGGTGCGGACTCTCCCGACGTCGCTGTGACCTCCCAGGGCCCTGTGTCACCGGACGAGTCCCATGTCTCCTTCGCGGAGCTGATGTCTCGGCTTGTCCAATCCTTGGATATCGACACTGTCCAGTGTCCGGGACCTTTGATGGACAAATTTTATGATGTCTGTGGGGAGCAGTGCACCTCGATCGTCCTGCCTTTGATTACCACCTTACGGCAGGCGATGATGCAACCCTGGGACTTGCCTTCTCACCCTCAACCCACTTCGCGGAGGTACGAATCCATGTACTGGGTTCGGGAGGAGGACATCCCATTCCTCCTCCTCCACCCCAAGCTGAACTCGGTCGTGGTGGAGTCCTCCCAGGGTAGAGAGGCAAGAGGCCACACTGCTCCGCGGGATAAGGAGGGCCGTAAGATCGACTCCCTGGCCAGGAGAGTCCATGCAGCTTCAGGCCTGGGGCTGCGTATTTCGAACTACGAGGCGACGTTGGCGAGGTACCAGTACTTTATAATGCAACACCTCCACAATGTCGTCTCGGCCCTTCCGGACCACCAGGGTGACCTAGCCAAGGTGCTAATAAAAGAGGCAATGCAGGTCGCTGTTCAGCAGTTGTCCACAGCCAGGCACCATGTGGACACCAACTCAAGAGCCTTGGTCGGTGCTGTCTCTCTCCGTAGGCATGCATGGCTGAGAAGCGCCAACTCCCCAGAAGAGACTAAGCGCCGAATTGAGGAAATGCCCTTTGACGGGTTCGGGCTTTTCCATTCTAAGATGGATCATAAACTCAAAAAACTCCATGAATCATGCATGATGGCCCGACGGATGGAGCTCCAGTCGCAACCGAGGCGTAAGTGGGCATGGACCCGTCCACCCTACAGACAGCCTTTCCAATCCAGGCAACAGCCTCAGCACAGGCAGCAGCAACAACAGCGCCACCGACGACAGCCCCAACAACGCTACCAACAGGGCCACCGCCGATATGACGACAGGAGGCAGTGTTGACAGGACGGGCGAACCATTCCTCTAACCTATCCTTTACCCACCCCCTCTCTCATCTGGGGACCAGCTGCAAAGCCGACTCCCCATGTGGGAGTCCATTACATCTGACCGGTGGGTATTGTCCATCATACAGCACGGCTATCGGATAGAATTCGACATCGTTCCCCCATCGAGTCTGATCCAGTTTACATCATGCTCGCCGGTACTGCTCGATGAAATACAACAACTTCTTCGCAAAGGAGTGATTCGTCAAATAACTCAACATGACGGACTTCACGGATTCTACTCCAGATATTTTACGATCCCCAAGTGGGATGGTGGCTTATGTCCGATTTTGGACTTATGTAATCTGAATCGATTCATCGTGGCGAAAAAGTTTCGAATGACCACCCTCCAAAATATTTTGCCGCTGCTAAGGAAAGAGGACTGGTTCGCCTCATTGGACTTGAAGGACGCCTATTTCCATATTGTGATCCATCCCAATTAGAGGCGTTTCCTTCGCTTTGCTGTTGCTTCTGATTTGTATGAATTTACGGTTCTATCCTTCGGTTTGGCCACCGCTCCGAGAGTGTTCACTAAAATGCATGGCCCCTGTCTGCGCTTTCCTACGCCTCCAAGGCATACAAGTTTATCCTTACCTTGATGACTGACTCCTGGTCTCCAGGTCTAGGGAAGCACTCCTCACTTCCATTCGTATTACCTGTGCCTTATTGGACAATCTGGGCCTATGCATTACTATCGAGAAATCTTCTCTTCTTCCAGTACAGAAGCTTACATTCATCGGAGCCCACTTGGATTCAACGTTGGAAAAGGCCTTCCTCCATCGGGACAGACAACTGACTCTCGCTTGCCACATCCATCGAATGCGACGAGACGGGACGGTTCCAGCGAAGTCCATCCAGAGGCTTCTAGGTCATATGGCTTCCTCCGTTGCTGTGGTACCACACGCCAGACTTCGACTTCGTCCTTTGCAGCTATTTCTCAACAAAGTGTTCCATCCACAGAGAAATCCACCGTCAAAGCTGCTCCGAGTTCCATCCTCGGTGCTCCACTCTCTCCTATGGTGGTCGGTCCCAGCCAATTTGACTGTTGGGGTTCCCTTCAGGCCCTGATGCCCATCGATAACCGTCGGTACCGACGCATCTCTTCTGCTCCGGCCTGTATACCCAGGGCACGTGGACTCATCAAGAATCCAAAAATCATATCAACTTCCTGGAGCTCTTGGCGGTATTCAAAGCCCTACGCTCTTTCGAGGATGTTCTTCAACATCGGGTCATTCAGATAACGTCGGACAATATAGCCACTGTCTTTTATCTGAACAAACAAGGTGGGACGAAATCTCCGACCCTGGCCAGACTTTCTATGCAGATCTGGGACTGGTGCATTCTGAGAGGCATTACACTAATGGCAGTCCATCTGGCCGGTATGGACAATGTGGAAGCGGACCTTCTAAGCAGGCGCATACTTACCTCTCACGAATGGAAACTAGATCCTCAGACATGCAACGATCTTTTCCATCACTGGGGGTTTCCCGATGTGGACTTGTTCGCCACCCAACAGAACAAGGTGTGCGAGACTTTCTGTTCGAGAGCAGGGATAGGGTGCGAATCCCTAGGGGACGCCTTCATGATCCCATGGAACAACCTGAATTTTTACGCCTTCCCGCCAATTCCTCTTGTGATGAGAGTCATAGCGAAGATTGTATACGATCGGGCCACGGAGATACTGATTACCCCTTGGTGGCCACACCAACCTTGGTTTGCCACACTGCTCGACATCTCTCACGGGAAATACCTTCATCTGCCACTGCTTCTGTACCTCATAACCCAGCAGGACGGTGTGCTTCGCCATCCAGATATACTGTTGTTGAAACCAACAGCATGGCGAACCCGATAGTTAATTTTGCTACATCTGTACCGATGGCAATTTCAAGTGGTTCGAATCCTGCCCTCGAATCCGCTGCACTCAGAGCCTTTGAATCCACTGGGGTCGACGTTGCTTCCTCTTTCAATCCACCAGCGCTGTCAGATCCGACGATTGTTCCACCAAATCCGACAACCTTGCATCCGGATATTCAACACATCTTGGATTCCGCTCTAAAGCCTTCCACACGGAAGTCTTATGCGGCTAAATGGAGAAGATTTTCCACCTTTGCCGAGTCTCGTTCGTTCTCTCCACCTACATCATCGATACACCAAATTCTCCAGTTCCTCTTAGAACTACACCACTCTGGACTGAAACCATCTTCGATTAAGGTGTATACGGAGGCAATCGCCTATCATCGTGGCATGCTAGATGGATCGTCCATCTTTTCTCAACCTACTATTAAGAGGTTTCTGAAGGGGCTTTATAATCTGAATCCATCGATCAGGCCAGTAATGCCTACCTGGAGTCTCTCTGTTGTTTTGCAAGCGCTTACAAGAGCTCCTTTCGAACCGTTAGCAACAGTTGATTTATGTCTTGTTTCGTGGAAGACAGCGTTTCTAGTAGCGGTTACCTCGGCCCGAAGGGCCAGTGAGCTCTGCGCTCTCTGCGTAGACCCACCTTACCTCAACTTTCATAGAGAAAAGGTCGTCCTGCGGCTCGATCCATCTTTTCTCCCAAAGGTTTCCACTCCCTTTCATATGGGACAAGATATCAATTTGCCGGCCTTCTTTCCATCTCCGTCGACTCCGCTAGAAAGATCATTGCACTCACTTGACATTTGGTGCTGCTTAGCCTTCTACAGATCTAGGACGGAATCTATTCGGCGTTCAAATAGACTTTTCGTTAAATATGCTACCAGAGATCAGGGCGCTCCTGTCACTCCGCAGAGGCTTTCTAAGTGGATAGTCCATACTATCACTTTATCCTATCAACTGGCTAAGATTGACTTACCCACAGCTCCTCGTAGCCATTTGACTAGGGCTGTTGCTACCTCCTCTGCCGTCGCATCAGGAGTACCGATTGATGATTTATGTCGGGCTGCTACTTGGGCGAACCCTTGCACTTTTGCCAAACATTATCATTTAGACGTTTGGGCTTGACAAGATTGCTCCTTCGGCAGAGCCGTTCTTTCATCTATTCTTCGTTGAGGACACCTCCCCTCCTCCATTATGGTAAGCTTGTTAATCTACCCACAGAGGCCACGACAAAGAAAAGCAGGTTGCTTACCTGTAACTGATGTTCTTCGAGTGGCCATCTGTGCAAACGGTCCCAAAAATGGAAAAACGTTTCCATTTTTCTTGGTACCGATATCGTTTACAGTAGGAATATTTTTTTCCACATGGCGGCGTATGTTCGGTCGTCAAAGACTGAACAAAATGGCTGACACTCCGCTCTTTATAGGCCATGGAGGAGGGGGAGCGGAGCTTTCCCACCAAAAACCGTTAGGTTGTAATCTTCCGGCCAAAGGCACTGCGCAGGCGCAGCACCCATATGTGTGACTGCACAGATGGCCACTCAAAGAACATCAGTTACAGGTAAGCAACCTGCTTTCCTTCCAACCTTTTACATGTATTTACATCTGGACCCAATCCACTAATTTAAACAGTAGTTTGCTTCTGGTTTTAATGAATGAAGTATGCAGAATGGACTGGCATATACATATACATGTTTTTAATGAAATGTTTTAATTGTTTCTTATTGTATTATTGTTTTCATTGATGTACTGTTGATTTTATTGTAAACTGCCTGGAGAGCCCTCTGGGCAATATATGAATGTAATAGATAAATAAATAATCAATCAATCAATCACATTTGACATGCACCTGTTCAACAGAAGAAGCATCAGGTGTAAATCTTACAAATTCCTCAATAATTTGCTCAATTTGTTCTGCTCCAGCTTCTCTCTTTTTTTTCTCAGTATTGGTAAGAACAAAAATGTCCAGAATGATTTCTATAAGGGTCAACTTCATACTAGCAAGTATTCTCATCAATGGCAAGTTAATATTCCGTATCTGAAATTTTTAAAAAAATGTAAATGGAAGTCAATCATAAAAACAAACCAGATTCAGGTTTCTATAACAGATGATGGATGTCCAGCAAGGAGGAGTCAGGGTTAAAGAGAGAATATTGGAAAATGAGGGAAAGTCCTCACCAATTTCAGACACTGATTTGCTATTCCTGTTTTAGGCAGGTTGCCTGCCCTCATATGGTGTCTGCCTTCACTAGGCTACCAAAGATTAAAAGAAGAGAGAGGGAAAAGCACTTCACAATAAAATGGAATAGGGAAGAGAGAATCCCGTGCAGCTTTTTGGGGAAACATTTGTTAATGGACCTAATATTTACGAAATGTAAGGTTTTTTTTGAGAATCTAAGGAGATTATCTACAAATCCTCATATAACTGATGAATCTTCACTATTAAGGAATTGTACATCATGAAAAGTGATAATGATCTCTGACTGTCCACATTCATTATTTATATCTGTATTTTCAGATATTCACCAGATTTTTGAACTATTGCCTTCTTTTCTGTATGATGTTCAACAGTCACCATGTTAGATATCAACTCAAACATATGAACACTTCCTACTTACCTCATTAACCGGAAGCAGATTATTAATATGTTGGAAAAGCTGTTCCATTTGTGATACTGATTCTTTAGCTAATCGGTAGGCATCTAGGTAGTGACTCTGCTTGTCTACAGCATATGTTGTATGTTTACCTAACATTCTACAAGAAAACCAACAAAGAAGTTTATGCAAAAAGCATTTAGCAACTGGTGATGAGATGGTCCCAAAATAAATTTTAAGAACTGCTATTGTTGGAAACCATTTAATCTTGTTTCTCACTGCTAAAGGAGTTAAAACTGGACATTTTATAAACACTGAAAATATTTCTTGAAACTTGTTACTCTCAAAAAAGAGAAGAAAAATGATTTTCAGTTAAATAATTACTATTTTCAATCCATTATAGAGCAAGTTTAAATCCAAGATACTGTTTAAAATCGACATTACTAGAAATTGGTTTTTTTTTTAATTCTTGTTGCAAGTCTCCTTCAGTAGTTTTTAAAATAGAAAGTCAAGTAATAACAGAACAATCTTAACCCTCCAGAGCAGTGGCAGAGGCTCCATACAACTGGTGGGAAGGAGGTGCTGTACCCTGCTTGTGGAAAGCAGTCCTGTGGCAGGGGTGTTCTGTCCACCCAAGCAGGCAGCAGAAAACTTCTATTTGCAGTAGCACAGTGGGTTGCAGTGGATTATGGATCTGCTGGACCCCACAAGAATCTTCTTCCTCAGCAGCTCCCTCTCATAGCTCATTCTACTTCCAATGCTGCCCATTACTTCCATGTGGAATTAAAGTGGGTGTGTGCATGGGGTCTTCTTATGAATCACTAACTAGTTAAAGAACAGAAGACAGAGGGTGGGAATAAATGGCAATTTCTCCCAATGCAGAGATGTCACTAGTGGAGTCCCACAGGGGCTCCACTAGTGACACTAGTATTGGGCCAATGCTTTTCAACCTTTTCATAAATAATCTGGAATTAGGAGTAAGTAGTAAGGGTGGCCACATTTGCTGATGACACTAACATTTTAGGGTGGTTAAAACTTAAAGAGATCATGAAGAACTCCAAAGAGATCTCTCCATGGTGGGAGAATGGGCATCAAAGTGGCAAATGCACTTCAACATAAGCAATTGTATAGTGATGCATACTGGGGCAAAATCCCTACTTCAAGTATGCACTGATGAGATCTGAACTACTGGTGATCAAGCAAGAAAGCAATTCTGAGGTAGTGGGGGTCAGCTTGATAAAAATGTTGCCACACTGCTCAGCTGCTCTGAAGAAGGCAAACTCCATGCTAGGCATAATTAGCAATGGAATAGAAAATAGAACTGCCAAAATCTTACTTCCCTTATACAAATCTTTGGTGTCACTGCACTTGGAATATTGTGTTCAGTTCTGATCAATTTAGCTGGAAAAGGACATCATTCAACTGGAAATTGTACAAAAATGATAAAGGAGCTGGAGAAGGAGCAGCTACACCTGGGACTGTCAGCTTAGAAAAAAAGGCAAGTAAGATGAGACAAGATAGAGGTGTTTAAGGTTACCCTAAGTCAGAGACAACTAGACAGCATGAAACAAGTATTCAAGAAAAACAGTGAGCTTACCTGTGAATATTTGCACGTGCCATCAAAGCTTCAGCACTACGATCTTTATATCCATAAGAAAGGAAGTCCTTCTCTATGTGAATTAGTTTTTCATATGGTTCCAGCAACATTTTTGGTAGCTCAGTAGAATGATGAGTACTATTGATGAAATCTTTAGCAAAATCTATCTGAATGTACACTTTCCTGCACAGAAGAGTATATTAATAGCACTGGGGGAAAACATTGGACAAAATAGTAAACACCTTGTCCATTACTGTATTTTTTTCTTTTGATATCTTGATAGGAAATTAATAAAAAGAGAACTCAAATTTTATATTGTCTGCATGTATGTTTGCCTTGAAAAAGGAAAATTTGTAATAGACTATTAAAATATACCATAATTAGTTTTTAAGAAATGAACTCTAAAAATTACAATTATATTTTTAATTTGTTATTAATTACCTGGCTTCAAGACATGCAATTATAACAACTAATTCAGATTCTCTGTTAGGTCTTTCTACCAGTAATGGTCTCAAGACATTTACAGTCTTTTGCAGAAAATGGCATGCCTGCAACTATGAGAAAGCAGAATTTTAAAATCTTGTAGTATTCATAACAAATTCTATTTCAGAACAAACCCAAATAATGAAAACACAAGCTTTAATTTACTAAAGATCACATTAGTCCCCACTATAGAAGCAAGCAATCCTTTCTTAAATGCAGCTATATAAGGATGCTATAGTGTGAGCTCTACAATGAAAAAAATGAACATTCTAATTGCAGAAGCCTTTTTTTATGAAAATATGAACTTTAAAATGGTGCAAAATAGTCAATTTAGTTCTTTTTATCACAGAATAGACCTTTTATTTTTGTTTATCTCAGAATTGTAATAGTTTCATTATCATTTACATATGCACACCATCCCTTTTTTAAAAAAAGTTGGACCTTCTCTTCTAAAACTGAAACATCTACAGTTTAACAAACTATCAGCAAACAGTTTTATGCAGAAAAGTATATACAGGTAGCCCGATGGAAAGTGTGAGTATTATGGTTCTATAAACAAAACTACATAATCCATATTTGCCCTACATGCTTTAGATATGTCCGTGAAATAATAGATGATTTTCCTTACCATTTTGTCATTTTTTTGCCTGTCTTGCCCTAAAATGGCATCTGTGACACACAAAGTGCTGTTGTGCCAAAAGTGCTCATTTCCTCCTATCAGTTGTGCCTGCTCAAGCAGTGCTTTAGCTTGCACATGTTTTCTTTCCAAATTAGCCACCATGGCTAGAAGAAAAAGGCACCGTGATATAGCACATGGGTCATTCATTTCCTAGAAAAAGGATATTTCAATTAAAACAAAAAGTTTGTTCTTATATTCACACACTAGCATATAAATGTTATTGTATGATCACAGCCATCCCAATATTATGTGTTTAGTCAATCACAAACACTATCAGGGACATATATCAAGAAAACAATAATACAGATAGGACTTTATCCAGACTTAGTCACACTTTAGACTCATTGAAATTAATGAGGTTTAATTTAGTCTTGACTTATGCCTCATTAATTTCAGTTAATAGTACTTAAGTTAGTCACAGCTAACTTAAGTAAGGCAGGTTGCTTACCTGTCATTCTTTGAGCTTATTAGAATTTTTGGCAGGAACCCTGTTTCCCCCTACCCCCCAGTATAATAGCAGGGGTTTCTGCCCTTTCATCAGTCCAGATGAAGACTGATGTTTTGCTCTCCAACATATACTGACATGATAAAAGGGAAGTCAGTCAGTCTTTTTCCACCAACACCAATGCGGGGCTGGCGGGTGGGTTGTGTGAATGCACAGATGATCACTCAAAGAATATTAGTTACAGGTAAGCAACCTGTCTTTCTTCATCATGGTCTCTGTGCATCACACACATGGGAGACTAGCAAGATGGGACAGTGTCGTTACTGAAGGATGGCAGAGAGGACAGCATGTCCAAAGGGGCAGTCCTTTCTAGCTTCCACATCTAATTGGTAATGATGGATAAATGTGCATGATGGTGACCACGTAGCAGCTTTACACAGGTTCTGTAAAGGTATGCCAGCATGCAGGGCCATCAAGGTGGATATGGTTCTAGTTGAATGCCATTTTGGGACAACTGATAATTCTATATTGGCAAGTTGGTGTGCAAGCTTGATGGTTTCAACCATCTATCTGGTGTTCCTTTGTCATGGTTAAAGTATTTAATGAAGAGTTGTTTTGTCTTACAAAATGGTTCCATCCACAATTGGTAGAAAGCAAATGCTCTTTCAATCGGTGTGAAATGTGCTGGAAAATATGCTGGTAGAATAATATCTTGATTCCAATGGAACGTTGTGGCTACCTTCAGTAGAAAAGTGGGATGCATCTGCAGTGCGAACTTTTCTTTATGACAATTTAGGTATGGTGGATCAATTTGAAGGGCACGCAACTCACTCTTCTAGCCAATGTGATGGCCACCAGGAAGGATGTTTTCTATGAGAGTAATCTTAAATCTGTAGATGCGAGTGCTTCGAATGGTGGTTTGGTCAGAGCTTGAACGATGGACAAGCTCTACATCACGACAAATGACAGGATCGGAGGATTTAAATTTTGGAGTTCTCATAAGAAATGTCATGTTATGTGGTAAGAGAAGACTGATGGCTCATCAATCTGCCCTCTATGGTAAGAAACAGCACCAAGGTATACTCTAATAGATGCTGGCTTCAGTCTTGACTGGTGTAAGGAGAGGGGAAATTGGAGGACATTATGCACAGTAGCAGTGAATGCTATAAGTTGTGGTACCATAAACCTCAAAACTTTTCCATCTGGAGGCATACGTTTGTCTCATATTGGGTTGGGGAGCTGATTGTAGTAGGATGGTTTGTATCTCTTGATACAAATTAGATAACATATGGGCAAATGTATTAGCCAGGCTGTTAGTTTCAGTGTGTGCAGGTCCGGGTGTAGAATTCTCTCTTGCTATCAAGAGATCAGGTCTGAGATTTCTGGAAGATGACACATTCTTTGAGAAAGTTGCATGAGGGTCAGAAACCAGGTTTGGTGAGACCAACACGGGGTTATTAAAAGACAGTTGGCTCTGTTCTGCTGCAATGTTGTTAATGTCCTTCTAATTAGTGGAATCGGTGGCAATGCATAAAAGAAAGAGTTTTTCCAGGGGATCATAAATGCATCTCCCATAGAGTCCTTTCCTATCCCCTCTCTGAAGCAATAGGATTTGCATGTCTTGTTGCTCTGCATTCCAAACAAATTGATGACAGGAGTTCCCCAGCAGTTGAACTACTGAAGAATGTCCTGGTTGAGTTCCCACTTGTGCATGAGAATGATGTGATGGCTCAGTGTGTCTGCCTTCGTGTTCTTGGTACCGACAATATGAACTGCTTGCAGATGAATCTTGTGCTCAATGCACCAGTTCCAAAGATGGATCACTAGACGAGCTAGTGGGGCTGACTTCGTTCCGTGCTGTTCATTGATATAAAAGATGTGGACATATTGTCCGAGGCCACTTGTATGTTCCTGCCTGACAGGAGGGTTTTGAATGATTAAAGAGCCTTAAAAGTGCTAAATAGTTTATGTGTCTCATCCATTTGTGTCCATGCCATGACCCTTGTGTTTGGTATGATGGTATGATGCACAGTGGGCTCCCCATCCATTTTGAGATGCATCAGTATACAGGGTAGTAGTTGGATCCATCTGCTGAAATGGTATCCTTTGGATCAAGTTAGAGTAGGCCAACCACCAGCAGATTGTCCTTAGAACATAATGTGGGATTTTGACTCATTGGTATGGAGAGTCATGTTCTGGATGGTGAATATGATTGAACCACAGTTGGTCTCATTCACAACCTTGCAAATGGAACAACCAATACTGTGGATGCTATGTGTCTGACAATCAGATGAACTGATCAGACTATAGCTGTCAAAGTAGATTGAAGTTTTAAGATGGACACTTTCAATTTTCTTTTTCAATCCACTGGTAGGTATGCTTGTGCTTTCAGGGATACCAAACAGGCTCCAATATAGGTAATAATCTGCAAAGGGACAAGCGATGATTTCTTGTTATTAATACATGGCCCCAGTCAATCTAATAAAGTGCAAGTCTTGGAAATTGAGGTCATTAAACCCTCTCTGGTTGAAGACACTAATAGTCTATCATCTAAATATGGGTAAACATGCACTCCTTGGAATCTCAAATATGCACGGATAGGTAACATGCATTTTGTAAACACTCTTGGTGCTGTAGCAAGTCTGAATGGGAGCACCTTGAATTTGTATGCTTCTGCATCAAGAAACCTAAGAAAGTGTCTGTAGGCCGTGTGAATGCTTATATGAAAATAAGTAAGTTTTAGGTCCAAAGCTGCAAATAAGTCCTCCTTTTGTAGTAATGCAAGTATGTTTTGCAAGGTAGGCATCCTGAATTTTTTTGTAACTATGAAGTGATTTACTCCACACAGGTCTAGGATGGGACGATGACTTTCATCTTTCTTCAGGATAGTGAAGTATTTAGAATAGAAAGCATGCTATCTCCCTGAGTGGTCAACTCTCAGGAATGCTCTCTTTCATAGCCATGTGTTGATCTCATCTTGGAGTATTGGAGAAGGTGATGTTCTATGGACCACTCTGAGAGGAGGCAGGATTTCAAACTCAATTTTACATCCATGTTCTATAATGGACAGGACCCACTGATCAGATGTGATGGATTCCAGATGGGGAGATGGTGTTTTACTCAATCCACAAATGGGAATTGGACTAATTCTGAATCCAAATCCCTCTAAAAGTGTGTCCAAACAGGTGCAGAGTAGAAATATTATTTCCTGCGATTTAAATTGTATTTGCCTTTTCTGCCACTATAGTACACTGTTGACTTCTATTCATTAATTACAATTCCAAGATCCTTTTCACATATACTATTACCTATTTGGGTAACCTGATCTTGGGAACTTATATAACAAATTCTGTTTCTATAAAAAGAAACATACTCTTGTTATCATGCAATTTTGTTTAAAAACACACAGCTAACCCAGTGTGCTTTTGCTGAAAAAACAAAATCTGGAGACACAGTCATGTCCTTTCTTGGGGAAGAGAGCTCTGAATGAGTTACCTGAGTTGCTTGGTGTGCCTCTGAAAGTAATAGTCTTGCTGGCTGGTATAAACACAGTTGGATCAGGACTTCAGCTTTGTCTATCCACAAGTAAGGGAAAGTAAGCCCACATAATTCTTTTTGCGTGATGGCATTCATTTCCAAAATCTGTAAAATAATTCTAGAAATTATTCCTTAAAAACACTACATGTTCTTCACACTGTAAAGTTTGTTGATTAGAATGTTAAGACATCTACATTCTAAAACAGAGAAGACAGAACAAAGAGCTAAATGGAAGCCACGGCTTTTTGTTTGTCAGCTTTGCTTCATTTAATTAATTACCTTTGTTTCTAAAAGTTTTTTATATCTTCCAAAATTCAGTTTTAAGGCAGAAAAACTATTAAAATGCATTGTCAATGCATTGTTATATGTAAATGTAAATTACCTTATCTTTTGCAGTAAGCAATATTTTATTCTGATACACATCATCTTGCTTTGTGCAGTCAAATAATTTATCTTCCTTATGATTATTCTGTAGGGCATTTTCATTTTTAACTGCAATTTCCTGTCTAAACCTGGATTAAAGAAAGAAGTAGGGGGAAAGAATCACCTGCTTTCTAAAAAGCATTAATTAGTTAATATACAAAAATGCTTATGTTACTCATTATGTTAATGTGCATGGAGCAAAACTTGAGCTTGGTTAGTAAGGTGCTAGTGCTATTACATCAAACAAAAGTTACTCTTAATTCAAGCTGCAGTATGAAAGTTACTAACTTATCACTGGAATCTTGATTTGGATACTACAAATTGAACAAGACGACATAGGGATAATGGGGTCCAGAACATGCATTCAAAGGGTTGTGGGGGGGGGGGGGCTGTAAAGTTTTGGCTGCATTCATTAACTTTTTTCCAGAAAAGTTCAAATTCTTCTGCTCACCTTGTTAGGAGGGAGCATGGTGGGGTATGACCTGGATTCAGTGCTCTCTACCACACCCCCACAGCCATACACTTTCCTTGATTACTGTGCCAAGTAGCTGATTGGTAGGATTTAACCTAAGAGCAGTCTACTTAGGAGCAGTTCTGGGTGTTCCATGCTTAGTGTTTTGGATTGACCCATATTAGGTAGGTATTTAAACCACTGATAGAATCATGCATCTTGTTACAAACAGCATACCTTCCTTGCTCCATTTCATTAATGTATACTTCACCTACTGCCTTCTCATGATAAGATGATGCTTGGCACAATTTCAAGTCTAAGCATACCTTGGAGAGTCTGTGAAAACAAACGATATAATACATCTTTGTTAGTATGTACAAATGCAAGCACTTATTGATAAGAAAAGTACTTCTGTTCAGTCAAGAATGTCCCAATGCCATTCAAATATAGAGCTGATTTCAAGTTGGCCCTCTTGAAGTCCCAGCTTCTAGTGCTTGACCTGCTGCACGTCCCCAGTCCCCTGATCTCAAAGCAAAGGATGAAGTGATCACTGGCATCCCGAGCTCCCCTAATCTGTACCTCATCTATCAGCTCCTCTGTGATGGTCAAGACCAAGTCAAGGATGTTCCCCCCCCTCGTCGCCTCTCACACTCTCTGTGTGAAAAACCCTCCCTCTATAGCTTCTAGGAGGTGATGTGACCTGGCTGTTACTGCTGAGTGAGTCTCCCAACTAATATCCAGGAGATTGAAAACTCCCATAATTACTATGTCCCTCCCCCGAGATATCCTTAGAATCCAATCTGAAGATTGAAGAGTTGAACTGAAGTATGCATATACAAATCCTTCAGCTTAATAATCAAGAAGAATAAAAGGCATGGCTGGCCTTTGCTGACGAAGAGTAACTGAATCCCTCTTCTCACCATGTGTGAACAGACACCACTTCTACTCATGAAGGAGGAAGGTCATAATATTTCTCCTATGGGCAAACCCTTAAACCTTGTAGGAAAACTCTGTTGACATAAAATCATAAACTGTGGAAAATACAGCATATTAAAGGGTTATGAAGTACAACTAAGGCAAAGAACAAATGTATGAAGGACAGGAAAGAAAACAGAAATGTTTCATAGTGAGTTAAAGTATTGAATACAAACCGAAGATGGTAGAGATCTGATAGAGTTTTGCTTTCTATGACATCTTGAGCAATGACTTCTGCCAGATGAAGGACTGGAAGAGTCAAGTGAGTACATAAAATTGTCTGTAGCTCATTAACTAAAAGGTCTATATAATATAAGGTCTGTGTCTAAAAATAAAGAGAAGGAGAGATAGTGAACAAGTTGTTAGTTCTTCATTATGAATCCTCTGAGAAACAGTCGAGATCCGATGGTACATTAAGTAACTGTGCAATGTATACTTTAGCCATAATTATTCATAGCATCATAGTACAGTAGAGCTGCAAAGGGCCAGCAAGGCTACTGGGTCCAACCCACTACTCAAGTTAAAGCATATTTTGAACCACTGAAAACACAACATTTAAAATCAATTCAACACTATTCAATTACAAAAATGTCTGGAAAATAAAACTGTCTTTGCCTGGCACCAAAATATTTGCAATGAAGGCACCAGGCTTACAAGGAGAGCCTATTCCAGAGGTGGGGCATTTACAGGTACATTTGTATGTATCCAATGACACCCACTGTAAAGATGCAGGAAGAATATGTGACAGTGCATTCTTAGAATGAGCTGCAATGCTAAGCTTCATGGTTATGCTCTTGGTACTTCAGATGTTGACTTACTTATCCTAAGGCAAGCTCAGAATCAGACTTTGGCAGCCTATAGAGTCTAACACAAAGTTTTATAAGTACTCCCAGCTTTCCCGACACCACCCTTCTACACAGCCTTTGCCCACTCTCAAAAGCCCTTTTATGAGTAACAGTCTACAAACATACACCTATTCTTCATATACAGTTCCCCTCCGCACCTTTCTTTATCAGTGGAGGCACAAGGGCAGCAGCAAAGACAAGAGAGAGGGTTCCTTATCTTTCTTTGATGTCTCCTCTCTCCTTCTCTAAGAATATGCTATGGCACTGCAGTTAGGGGAACTTTAGTCTTTTGAACAGGTCCTACAACCACAAAATGACTTTACTAACTGTAAGTGGAATGGGAGGATTTGTAAAAGAGAAGGAGTAAATTCCCCCTTTGCTTCTTACTTTTGCTATTTCTATACCATGGCTAATTTAAGTGAGTGAAATGAAGGAAAGAGGTAAGCTATTTGAAGAGTCATGCAGCAAGGAACAAGAATCCTCTGGGGGATCAGATTGGCTTGGGAATTTTGGGGATTTCCCTCAGTTTTCTAGAAAAGGTACAAAATTCTCAAGCCAGTTCAACAAGGACATTATTTGGATAGGTCACCCTTCTCTTACTCAAAACATTTTAGCATAGCAAATCCATTTCTTCCAATTCTAAAGGGGCCCTCAAGTTCCTAAGAAACCAAGAAAGCTCAATAAAGCAATATTTCTTTCTAAAATCTTTTTCAAAATGTTACTCACGGGTGCTAAAATAGTTTCCCTGTTCACAGCACAGCCACTTGAGTCTTGCTTAAAGGCATCTCTAATTTCATCAGGACAGTCATAGCTTGCCCATTCCTCCAAATTTACAGGTAACGCTTCAATTGGTCCTTTCCGCTTAGGTTTGTCCTTTATGACTGACTGTACCTAAAAAGTAAGCATCTAATTCTAAGAAAAAAATATTTTTCACTAGTATGAAAAAAGCAAATTATATATTTTAAAAAACATACCTGTTTGATATCTTTTGAGGATTTATCTTTTTTAGGAGGGGTTGTTGGTGAATTACCAGCAGGCTTTAGAGAAAAGAATAGGGAAAACTGGAATGTTTTTTGTACAGTAGAATAATTATATTAATATAATATTCTGTATTATACAGCTATATACACCTTAACATCTGAAACTACATATTTCTCTACTGGATTTAACAAAAAGAATGGGATGATACACACTCAGCTCACACTGGAACTTCTGGATCATACAAGCCAGTCACAAAGGAGGTATGGTGAAGGAATGAAAGCACTGTTTTCAGCAGGGTTTATCTCAAGTAAGTATGTCCTTAGAAATGTAATCTTGAGCTGTTTTCTTAATTCTCCCAGGCAAAGAGAATGGGATGGCACTTAATCTAGACAAGCAAATGTATTTCTTCACTAGAGGTCTTTTAGTTATCTGAGCAAGCAGGATGAGAAGAACTGTGGCAACATAAGAGCCAAGCTGAACATTAAAAAAATTCTGAACCAAAAAGATATGACAAAGGCAACATTAACAATTGCTACATGCACCACCAGTGGAGAGATGTTCAAATAAGCAGGGAACTGAGAACACCTGTCTGTTCTACAGTTTGGTAAGTAGAGGAGACATAAGTCTTTATATAGACTGAGTGCTCTGCCTGCTTCCCCCTTACTTCCCCCTGCTTCCCACCTTAAAGGTGATCAGTACTGTCACAGCTGACAGCACCTGGAGCACACTGGCATAAATTTGCAGAAATATTTTGTGTACTTTGTTTCCAGGTGGAAATAACTCACTGGATTGTGCTGTATAAATATAATATAGGTTAAAAATGAAAGAATATAGAGATTCTCAGAATTCTTATTTGAATACATTATTTCCATAATTTATTATGGGAAGAACTGCTCAGATGTACCCCTACATTTGCAGAAAAAAATAAACTTTGCATGCACAGCACCGTCTCACTTGTTTAGCATCTTTTTTCCCTTTTGTTTTAGGAGTACTTAGCTGAGTTGGTGAAATTTTGACTGATGCCTTTAAAACAGATCCTGCTGATGTCAGTGAAATCTGAAAAACAATAATTACGTTTGTTTTAAGGGGAGAAAATCTACAAAGTATTATCTTTCTATATTTCAATTGCTGACTGACCCCCTTTGCTCCTTGCAGAGTGGGCCCAGCTGTCGTTGGTTTGACACCAAGTGGGGCTGGTGGGAGAGTTGTGTGAATGCACACATTACTACTTGAAGAATGACAGTTATGGGTTATGGGTAAGCAACCTGACTTTCTTCTTCATGTTCTCTGCGCATCACACATATGGGTGACTAGCGAACTAGTAAGACTAATTAAATATCTTTTTTGACTGGGTCACCTCCCAAATGGACAGCAGAAGGACAAAATCTACCCTGACTTTAGCAAAGTTTTCGACATAGCGCCCCACAACATTCTGATAAGCAAATTAGCAAACACTGGACTAGATAGAAAAACTATTTGGTGGATCCAAAATTACTAAATCAGACACAAAGAATGCTAATCAATGGCACCTTCTCAAACTAGGGAAAGGTAACAATTGGGTATCCCAGGGTTCAGTCTTGGGCCCAGTGCTCTTCAACATGTTTATAATGATTTGGATGAAGAAGTGAAAGGAACAATTATCAGATTTACAGATGACATGAATCTGGGTGGGATAGCTAATACCCTGGAAGACAGAGAGAAGATTTAAGGTGATTTTGATAGGTTGGAGTGCTGGGCTGAAAAGAACAGAATGAAATTCAGTAGGGACAAATGACAAGTCCTCAGCCCAGGAAAAAGAAACCAATTGCATTGATACAAGATGGGGAATATGTGGCTTAACAGAACTGAAAAAGAAAAAGACCTTGAAGTTTTTGTGAAAACAGGTGAGATATGAGCCAACAATGAGATGCAACTGCAAAAAGGGTAAATGCTATTTTGGGTTGCATGAACAGAAGTTTCACTTCTCAAACAAAGCAGGTACTAGTTCCTCTTTACTCTGCACTAGTCAGACCTCACCTTGGATACCAGTTCTGGGCACTAAGATTTAAGAAAGATGCAGAAAAAATAGAATCTGGAGGAGGGCAACTAATGATCCAGGTTTTGGAAGCATTGGCTTATAAAGAGAGACTAAGAAGACTTGAGAAGACTGAGAGGGTACCCGAGAGGCTGTCGCAAAGAGGAAGGACACGATCTCTTTTCACTCATACCAGAACACAGAACATAGAATTTTCAGTTCAAGTTGTAACAAACCAGATAAAGACTAGATATCAGAACATTTCCTCACTACCAGAGCAATACAAGAGTGGAACCAGCTACCTAGAGAGGTGGTGAGCTCTCCCACACTAGACACATTCAAAAAGAAACTGGACAGTCATCTGAGTGGAATGGTGTAACTTGGTGTCCTGCTGCAGCAGGAGGTTTGGACTCAATGGCCTTCTTGACCCCTTCTAACTCTACTATTCTAGGATTCTATGACGCTTACCCTAGACAAGATGGCAGGGTGGTGTTGACACTGGAAGATCAAAGAGAGGACTGCTCTGCCAAAGGAACAGTCTGGTTTTGCACAGACATCCAGCCTGTAGTGCTTGATGAATATTCAGAGTGCAAGACTAGGGGCTAGTCCTCATGGTATGGGAAGACTTGTCCTCTTTGGAGGCATAGGAGTGAGCAGACCACTGCCATGCATTTGGTGAAAGCCCTGGGGGCAGCTGAGAGCCCAAAGGAGAGTACAGAGAATTGGAACTGGGCCTTTGGTGTCAATAGGGGCTCCCTTTTGGGATTTAACCAACTTGGGTCTGAGCATATTCTCAGGACCAACCACACCTTCAGAGTTGATGATAGACAGGGACTGACTCAGTTCTGAATGCTTTCTTGGGACTGACAGGACCCTTGTTGTCAATCGGTGCTCTCATGGCATCCTCATTTTTGCTTGGTGGCAACAACCATCTTTTTTGCACACTTCACCACTTTCCCAACCATATGGTCCTCTGTGGAGTGGTCAAGCATTTGGAGTCCATGGTTTCCAGATCCCTGGCCCTCAGTTGATTGGCTCTGTGTTTCCAGGCCTGTTTTGTGAAGGCCTAGCAATGTGGGCATGATTTGATGATGTGTTTCTCACCCAAACAGAAATGCAGAGGGACTAGGTGTCCATTGGTGGTGGGGAAAGCTTACTCCCACAACAGATGCACTTTCCAATGGGTGCCTTTGATGCCATCATGGCAAAGGAGGAAGCAGAGAGAGAACAGGGAAAGTACTGGTATTAGGATACAAAAGTTCAAAGAGAAAGCAGGTGGAGTTTACGAGTAAAGAGTGAAAATGAAGTTTATGGAGATAAGGGTATAAAGAAGACTGAGTTGGAAGCCAAGAAGGAGAAAGCAGTAGAGGGAAAAGGTAATAAATACTGGCAAAATACTCAGGTTCAGAAGTGCTTCCTGTTCTAGACATGGAGGCAGTCCAAAAGAAACTGAGGGACTAGGCAGGAGCCCCTGCCACAAGTGTAGGGAACACAAAGGGGAGGAGTTCCTACTCAGACTAATGCTTAGCTGTAGAATCTTCCTGACAACAGCTCCAACCAGATGCAGAACCTATATGTGTGATGTGCAGATACCATGAAGAACAATGAAAAAAAAGAATTTAGTAGGACTTTGCAAATCTGCAAATGGTAGTAGTCTCTTTTACCTTTACATAGAGCAAACCTACACAGATAAAATTTAATAACTTAGATCCCTAGATAACTTTAAAAGTTCATAGAAGTTTTCTGCTCTCCTCCTCTGGCAGAAACCTAGAGAAAAATGTGGGATGGGGCATAAGGGCACAGTCCTATGGGGATGTTTGGAAGCCTCCAGACTCAAAGGAACGTGGGCATGCTATGCAGGGCAGGAGGTGCATAGAGGTGAAGATTACCTCCATGTTCCTCCTGGGATACAAATCAGCAAGATGGCTGTATAATGGTGGCACTCTGGAGCAGGAAGGAAGGAGGCTGAGCCACCTTGCATCCTCCTCTCTCACTTCTACTAAAGATTGCCGAATCTTTCTTGTTGTGTAACCAGGTGCTTGACTGATTACACAACAGGTTGCACAAATGCAATGCGCAATGGGTTGCACAAAGAATTGTACAAACATAGTGCACACCACTTGCATAACTAAATTCCACTTGTGAATCAGTGCTTGAACAATTTTAATTTTCTTCTCTCGCACATGGCTCAGAACTCAGTTACTGTTAGCACATTGCTATCTGCAGTAACAGAATGACATAGCTGGCTAATGCCCAACTTACGACCTAGTCATCATAGGCTGAGCATTGTAAGCAGTCCTGAGATGTTTTATTGGGAAGAATGGGACAAAAATATTTTAAATAAATAAATAGTCTGCATTCTTAAAAATCTATTAGCCAACCAAAGGAGATTTCAAAACTAATTTAGAACAAAAGTAGAACTTTGTTCCTCATTTCTGAAAAATGAAGGACAGAATAATTTTAACCCATCAGATGGCTGTCCAAAAAGGTTCACAATGGAGTATAAGTTCCACTGTGCCATCGGGGGGGGGGGGTCATGTCTGACCCAAAGTCTCCAGTTCTGCAGTGCATTCTGAGGTTAGGGCAGAACTGGTTTTGGACCCACAGTCCCACCATTCTCCAGCAGTGAGCCTAGACTGTCTCACTCAGCTGGACTGGCCTGGAGATGCTACAGCTAATTTCCATAGCTTCAGAATGTCACAGCTTTGCTTTTCAATGCATAATGATGTTTATCATTAAGAGTAATGCAGTTGCTTTTAGTTAAAATATTTTGATGTGGCACATAAAAATGATCAGAGGAACACACAAATATTAGTGTTGTTTGAAAGTACTCTCCCCTGCTATACAGATGATAATCTATAACTTTTTGGAACATAATTTCAATTCAGTTGTACCTAGGAAAAACGTATATACATTCATCAAAATTATATTGCTAATCATCTTGGTTTCCATATCATTTCTGTCTTTACAATTCAAGTAAATGTTACAGAAAATTTGATAAACTGACACAATACATCCAGCCATCTGCTCATCACATTTATCTTCTCACCTGCCATATGCGTATCACAAAAGCATATGCCATCAAACAGTGCTGCTCATGAAGAGGTGAACCATGGCCAGAAATAACAGCCATTACTGTATGAGCTCTAAGCAAAGCTACTAATTGCTTTATATTTCTCAATTCTCCAATTGTAATTTTGTTTCCTGAATCTAGGATCAAAAGTAACAAAAGTAACATTTAACAATCAATACTGCTGGGAAATTGAATTATTGGAATAAGTACTGTGAACATATAAAATTAAAATATGAATTAATCATTTTATTCATATTACCTATAGTTATTTCATTCTGTAAATTTGAGGGTGGAATAAACCAACAATAAATAGTGATAATTTTGGTAGCAGATAGTAACATTTAATATAAAGAAGTATTCTTTCAATGGATATAAGGGAAAATACTGATATTGGTGAGACTACAAAATTAAGTCTAACATAAAAATGATTTAAACTAAATATATTTTCAATTGTACTCTTTTCTAAAGAAGAGTTAGGATACATGTTTCTGTGGATGAAAAAAGTCTATGCTAACAGGCGAATGCTGAAACTTGAAGGACCTTTTGTGTCTAAACACAAATAGAACTGTATCCTTAAATAATTTAGTTAAAAAAGAAAGCATTTTACATGTCACAGAGTAACACTAGAAAGAGTAACACTAGAGTAACACTAGAAAGCAAACACTGAATAAGACACACCTTCCTCATCAGGGCTTTTTTGGACAGGTTTGAGGTGCAGCAATATAGATATTGCCCAGTCAAGATGTTTAATAGCTTCATTAAGAGGAAACTGTTTACAATATAGCCATTCTGCAAATCTTAATAGATTATCAACTTTCTTTAATTCAGATTCTTTTTTCTGTATTAAGACAATGAATACAATATTAGGCTAGATGCTCTCAGTATAGATTTCCGATTCCCTTTTAGATCAAATAAACATGGTCAAAATACATTGCATGGATATTCTATCTAGGTTTACAGTTGCTCAAAACAGAACAAAACAAAACAAACAAACAAACCCAAACACTTTCAAGAACTCCAAAAACAGTGGGCAGAATCCAGTATTGCTGCTTTTCTTCCACTCATTCCACTGTGGCAGTGGGGTTCATTATTTGTACAACAGAAAGTTAGTGGTTCAAAAAGCAACTACAGAAACACTTGTTTCTGGACTGGGCCAAGTTAGTGGAGATTTGTTCTGGAGATGAGTGTTTGTCTTAATTTCTGATTGCTTTTCCATCGCTACTTCCTGTTGCACTACTGGCATATGGGAGGAGGATACTGCCCAGTATTTAAATAGGTCAACAAATAAGGCACATAAGCAATAAAATTTGCCTTTTCTTATTATTTCTTATTGGAATAACTGCAACAAAATGCAGAAATTAAAACATGGAAGCAATGTTATAAAAGTATTCTATTTGTATTTATATTGTATAAACAGGGTTAGTACTATCAATTTTAGGTCACATACCAGTAGGTACATAAGTCTAATTTCTAAGTGCATGAACATAAAAATCACTCAGCCTTTCCTAACAAGCTATATTTAAAGCATCAAGGATTTCCTGAAAGTAAACAGAATCAAAATAAAGGAAAATGATAAGTATCATGGTGAAACATTTCACATTCTAGAAATACACTTGAACATCCAGTTTCAGAAGTATTCATAACCCTCTAAAATAAAGTACTTCAAAACTGTCTTCAAGACATCTAACTAAAACCATGAAATACTGAGAATCTCTTGTCATCTTAGACTCTGTCATTACAGTACCATTCTAGGCTGCCAGGAAAATGGGTGAGGGATCATAGGTTGCTGTGGATCACTCTGAAGGCCTCCCCAGAGTGGGAGTGGAAAGTTCCACCATTGTCACAGCTCCATCATCATTGGTTCAATGGCACTGGAGCCACGAATGGGGAACTCTGAGGAAATGTAAGGAGAGGCCATGGTTCCATGGGGCTACATCCCCTCTTGCTCCCTGAAAGGCAGAATGCTTACCTGTAACTGTCGTTCTTCAAGTGGTCATCTGGGCATTTGCACACCTACAGGCTTTGCCATGGAGCACAAGACCTGAACTGGAGAAAACTTCCACAGCTCAGAGTCATGGAGTGGGTGGGAGCACAGCCCCACTCCTATCAAGGGGAGGATAAGGGGGGAGTTATCTTGAAGACCACATTGTCCCAGGTGTGCAAGGGAGCCGGAAATCTGTAAAGGAGGCATAGATGACCATGCCTGGCCTGAAGGGTAAAACAGCACTGACGACAGCCAGTAGAATGGGGAGGGGAGAATCGTGTGAATACACAGATTACCACTTCCACCCACTCTGTGACTCCGAGCTGTGGATGTTTTCTAAGATTCAGACATTGTGCCCTGTGGCAAAGCCCATATGTGTGCAATGCACAGAGACCACAAAGGAGAACAAGGGGCAAAACTATGTGTAAATAATCTTTGCTCTACAGACATTGAGTAGGAAAAAGAGGTGAAAACTGCTCACAGAAATGTGATCATGTCACATAGGTTACAGGTGACCTTCTGTTCTAGCAAGACTTGGGAAGGAGTGGGTCTTTTCTGACAAATTTTCCCCTCAGGATTTGTCTGCTAAAATTGAGGTATGCACACAAGTATAATCTTCTTGTCTTAAAAAAGAGAGAGGGATGCAAACCTGTAAAACTTCAATTGTATTTTGGTAGCAGGATAGCTGTCCAACAAGATCTGATGACACAGAGGCCAGTTGATGCCACATATGTGACATGTAGTCTTCACTTTCATCTCGGAATTTTTGAATTTCCATTATATAGTTACGTCCAAGTCTTGCCTTCAGCATTACCATATGTTTAAAAACTGGACTACAAAGCATATTTTGATTGAGTTAATGCTTATAAATAATTGAATATAATTAAGTTAGAGTGATATTTTAAGACTTATTTTATTAACTATCTTACATTCAGAACCTCTGGTTAAGGCATATTTGTCTCCATGAGCAGCAATAATTAATTTGCCCTGCATTTCAGCAAGCAAATGCATCAGGAATAAAACAGTTTCAGCAGTGTACACCCCAAATTGTGCAAGCTGTGTGACTTTATAGGCTAAAGGGATTTTTCCAGTTCCCTTCCCAACTGCAATCCTTCAAATTTGCTTGAAGGATTGCTAAACCTTCCAGAATTGCATCCAAAGTAGCTGCACAGGAAAGGTAGAATCAGTTAAAAATGTTGCCCCTTCTTGAGCTAGAAGATTCCATTGAATTACCATTTCCTCTGAGCTAACAGAAGTTAAATCCTACCTTAGCATATTGTTTGCTTTTTATATCTTGTTTCCATATTGTTTGCTTTTTGAACACCCACTATTTAAATAAATAATAATTTAATTGTAAGAAATGGCAGATGAATGACATGCAGGAGTCTTCTCCAGCACCACAATTCAAAGGCCCCAATTCTTCAGCACTCAGCCTTCCTTATGGACCAACTTTCACAGTCATACATTGCAACTGAGAAAACCATAGCCTTGACTATATGAATTTTTGTCAGCACAGTGATGTCTCTGCTTTTTAGTATGCTGTCTAGACCTGCAAGTGTCTTTTAAGTTTTTGGCTGCAGTCACCATCTTGGAGCCCAGGAAAATAAAATCTGTCACTACCTCCCTTTCTTCCCCATTTATTTGCCAGGAAGTGAGACGACCGGATGCCATTATCATAGTTTTCTTAATGTTGAGTTTCAAGCCAACTTTTGTGCTCTTCTCTTTCACGTGCATCAAGAGGCTCTTTAGTTCCTCTTCACTTTCTGCCATTAGAGTGGTATCATCTGCATATCTGAGGTTGCTGATATTTCTCCTGGCAATCTTAATTCCAACTTGTGATTCATCTAAACTGGCCTTTCTCATGATGTGCTCTGCATATAAGTTAAATAGGCAAGGTGACAATAGACAGCCTTGCTGTACTCCTTTCTCAATTTTGAACCATGCAATCAGTTGTTTCATGTCCAGTTCTCACTGTTGCTTCTTGTCCCACACACAGGTTTCTCAAGAGACAAATAAGATGGTCTGGTACTCCCATCTTTTTAAGAACTTGCCACAATTTGTTGTGATCCACACAATCAGAGGCTTTAGCATAGTCAATGAAGCAGAAGTTGATGTTTTTCTGGAACTCCCTAGCTTTCCCCATGATCCAGAGTATGTTGGCAAGATGATCTCTAGTTCCTCTCCCTCTTCGAAACCCTGCCTGTACTTCTGGTAGTTCTCGGTCCACATATTGCTGGAGCCTAGCTTGTAGGATTCTGAGCATAACTTTGCTAGCATGTGAAATGAGTCCTAAAAGGCTTGGGACCTGGTTACCTGAAGGAGCGCTTACATCCATATATGCCCGACCGCCCCTTGAGATCTGCGGGAGAGGCCCTTCTCCGGGAACCATCCGTGAAAGAAATTAGGAGGGTAGGTACTCGGAGGAGGGCTGTCTCTGCGGTGGCGCCCAATCTATGGAATGTGCTCCCCAGAGAGGTCCGCCTGGTGCCCTCGTTATTTGTTTTTCGGCGCCAGGTGAAGACCTTTTTATTTAAACGTCACTTTAATTGTTAACAATATTTACTTATCTGGCCAGGGTGACTTCTTTTCTTTTCTTTTCTTTTCTTTTCTTTTCTTTTCTTTTCTTTTCTTTTCTAACTTTTCTAACTTCTTTTATATCGTTTATATTTTTTATTTATTTTATATTATTAATTTTAATTTTATATTGTTATTTTTGTATTGTATTGTATTTTATTGTGTTGTAAGCTCCCCGGAGGCTTCGGCAAGGGGCGGCATAGAAATGTAATAATAATAATAATAATAATAATAATAATAATAATAATAATAATAGCAGCTCACCCCTTCCTTACAGCTACCTTGCCTGAGGGTATTTGACACACAAACACCAAGAACCATAACTATACTCCTGTTGGACTCTGTCTATGTCAACACAAGGCAACAAATGATTGCATGGAGTAAAAATATCAATTGCTGTTAAGTTACTCCTCCTACTGCAATTATGGAAAATTGCATTGGCTTAATAATACTCCCTTATCCAAGAGGTGTCCCAACATGTTTCCACTGTGTAAAAGAGGACATTGGCTGGCTCTTCTGAGGAAACTGTCATTATGCTACACCATTAATCGTGGTGCCATTATCAGAGAAATGTGAGAATGGGCACGAATGTTACTACTTTAGCCTTTTTCCTATTTTTGTGCTGTTGACATAGCTCAATACATTTGCGGCTATATCATCATACTGACACTTAAGGGGGCCTAACTACGATTTTAAATAAGCAAATTATAAATTTGCAGACCACTAGACAACCTAAGCATTTCTTTCTATTTGACTAGACAGTATATACATTTCTCAACATGCCAAATTACCAATGATATGACTTAAATATTAGTACCATTTCATACATATGCAAAAAAAATCCCAACCGACAAAAGTGTGAACATTGTGACGTAACTCAAGAATGCTATAGAACTTCCAAATGACAGCTTAGCAACATTACCAAAGGAATTCTACCAAAGGTTTTTCGGCGCCAGGCTAAGACCTTTTTATTTAAAACTTATTTTAATTGCTAAATTATTGTATTAATTAGTATTTTAAAATTTTTAGCTGAGAATGCACCGGGGGTTTTTAAATGTTGTTGTTGTTGATGTTGTTTTCTTCTTTTAATTGCTATATTATTATTATTTATGTATGTTTTATGTATTCTTTGTGAGCCGCCCCGAGGCTTTGTTGCGATGGGGGTGGCATAGAAATGTTTTAAATAAATAAATAAATAAATAAAATGAGTGCAGTGGTGCGGTAGTTTGAACATTCTTTGGCATTATCCTTCTTTGGGATCGGAATGTAAACTGACCTTTTCCAATCCTGTGACCACTGTTGAGTTTTCCAAATTTGCTGGCATAGCACTTTTAGTGTAGCACTTTTACTGCATCGTCCTGTAAGATTTTGAATAGCTCAGCTGGAATACTGTCACCTCCATTAGCTTTGTTGTTGCTCAGACTTCCTAAGGCCCATTTGACTTCACATTCCAGGATGTCTGGCTCGAGGTCAGCAACCACCCCATCATGGTTATCAGGGATGTTAAGCTCTTTCTTGCATAGTTCCTCTGTGTAATCTTGTCATCTCTTCTTAATCTCTTCTGCCTTTGTTAGGTCCCTGCTATTTTGGTCCTTTATCATGCCCATCTTTGCATGAAACGTTCCCATCATATCTCCAATTTTCTTGAACAGGTCTCTGGTCTTCCCTGTTCTATTGTTTTCTTCTATTTCTTTGCACTGTTCATTTACGAAGGCATTCTTATCTCTTCTAGCTGTTTTCTGGAATTCTGCATTCAATTGGGTGTATCTTTCTCTTTCTCCCCTGCCTTTCGCTTCCATTCTTGCTTCAGTTATTTGTAAAGCTATTTGTATTTCTTTTTCTTTGGGATGGTTTTAGTTGCTACCTCTAGTACAATTCTTATTCTTATGCATGCATAGCAAGGCTAATTTTCAACACCATCCTTATCCACCTACCATGTGTTATGACATGCTGCAACCTACATGTTTATACTTGGAAGCCACACTTCCAATGATGAAATTGTGAAAGTACTAGAATGTGTCCAATATATTAAACAGATTTGAACTACATAAACTAACTTATTTTATGGGCAACTCAGGATTTTGTTGAAAAAATATGTATTCATTGAGGAGTTACTTAGCTAAATTATTCAGAAAGCTAAGGATATATGCTAAGCCTGCAATCCTATACCCGTTTTTCTGGAAGTAAATCCAATTGAACTAAATTGAATTAAATAGATCTTTCTTCTGAGCAGACAGAAGATTACAGCAGGATTCTACTGTAAAAATCTCATTTGCCCCATTTAAACTTACACTACTACTACTACTATTATTACATTCCATTTACATCTTGCTTTTTTCCTCTTGTGAGAACTGCCAGGCAGTTTTCATTGCTTCATATATCCCCACAACAACCTCTGAGGTAGGCTGGACTGAGAGTGAGTGACTGGCCCAAAGTCACCCAGTGAGCTCCATGGCTGAGTGGAGACTAGAACCCAGATTTCCTGGGTCCCAGTCCAACACTGCAATCACCACACCACAATACTACATTTAAAAGACCAATTTTACCCCATTGGCTATGATCAAGCCCCTTGCAAGGGCTCCCTACTTCCCTCCCGTTAGCCCTGTTCATTTATTATGTCCAAACAGAGTATCTCAGTAAATGCGAGAGGCACAGTGTTGGGCCCACTGGACCTATCCCTGTTCATGCTGGCCACACACTCAGTCCCTAGCCTCCTTGAATTGAACAGAGAAATGAAGGATGCTCCTATTCATGCTGAATTAAAAAGTAAGGTCCTCAACAGCACAGAGAAACCTATGTGTATTCAAGTAAAAACAAATAGAGTCCCACTCCTCATCATGAAACATGGAAGGCAGAACAAGGGATGTTGTGGGCATAGCCATTAGAATCATAGAATCATAGAACAGTAGAGTTGGAAGGGGCCATGAAGGCCATCAGGTTCAACCCCTGCTGTTGCAGGACACCATGTTACACCTTCCCATTCAGATGGCTGTACAGTTTCTTTCTGAATGTCTCTAGTGTGGGAGAGCCCACCACCCACTGTTGTGGGTTTACATGTGTTTATATCACGTTCTGGTACCACTGGACAGAGGTGCTGTGTGAGTACTGGGGAACCAACTCTATAAAACATTTCTCTGTATGAAAGAATACAAATAGAAATTGCACAGACCTGGTTAGGTATCCAATATCAACACAACTACAGTAATCTATATGAAAACATCAAAAACAAAGAAAGCTGAACAACTTACAGTCTGTGCTTAGTTCGAGGAAGGTTCTGAACAGCATCATCTAACACTTTGAGACCTGCTTCCCAATCATTTTTATCAGCATACACTTGGAATAATAATACATACAAGAATGTCCTTAAGGTTGGATCCTCATCAGCACCTTGAAATAGTTTATACAATGTTAACAATATTTTGTAGTGTTAATATTACAAAAGTAATGCAGTCACTCCACAACCCCCACTTCCTAACAGCGAAAACTTACCTGGAAAAAAATGTCCATCTGATGAACTGCTGCTTTGAAAGTCTGTTGTGCGCCACTGATGCAAATGTAACATATGTTCTGTTTCCTAAATGATGGGGGCAGTTGGGGAAGGAAGGAATGACGTAAAATCCATGAGTATTGTAACTGTCATACAGCTTTGACAAAATGGCATGCAGGCTATGGACCCAAGTCAATATGAGCATGGACGGCTACACTATTTATTGCCACAGAATCAGCAACTGCAGGCTATCTATCTACAAATTCCATCTATTTATATGAATTAACCATCCAACTTTTAGCTTTCTGGTTGCTTGTTCTGTTTAGAGCTTTCTGAAGTGAAAACACTCCTACTTGCCATTTATTTATTTATTACCTGCTTGGTTTTGGCTTCTGATGCTTTAATGATGCTTTTGAGAATAATTTCAGTGGGCATTTTGAGCTGCTGCCTGTCTGCTGAAGAGCCAATGAAGGGCAAGCAGGCATTCCAGAAATGTCTAGCTGCAATCATAGCAAGAGCAATGTTTCCTGCTTCTCCTGCATATCTAAAAGTACCGAAACACACAAAAAAAGCATAGGCCTGGTATAGCATATAGTAAATAATGCTTGGTACAGTTACACCGAGTCCAACACAGTATTCTGTGGGCCTCCTTGCAAATATTAAAGATCACATTTTCTGAATGTACAAGGGGATTCATCCCATTACAAAAAGTATTTCTTTCATGTACATTTTAAAAAAGGTCCATGGAAAATAGGTGTGTGAAAGAGGCATTCTCTCTTGCTGGTTGTTACTGTATGGCCACTTTTCAAAATCCATTATTTATATATTTCGCACATTTACAAATAGTGAAGGCTACATATAGAGAGATATTCATTCAAGTTTAACAGGGTTAAACTTGGGCAAATGCAGATCTAAAACCTTTCTTTCTTTGAGAATAGTGACAACTCTTTCTTAACAGAAAGACAAATCCACATAATAGTTTCCAATACAGGGGTTCCTACATACCTTCTGAGACATATACCACCTGTTCAATACTTTACAGCAGGACAATGTTTAAAACATTAAGCTATATATCAAATATTTTCCCAAATGAAAGAACCTGAAAAAACCTGTACTTGCTTTGTATTGCAGTAATACTCCAGGAGTACTTTACTGACTTTTTACACTGTTTACAATGTTTACGTGTTGCAATCTGTGTTCCTCCCTCCCTCCTAGTAATATCAACTTCACCAGTGTCTCTTTGCTTAATGATCTTTATTGTCACACAAGAGTCTCTGAGCAGACACAAAATGAACCCTTTTTACCATTCATTTCCCAAAGCTTTCTTTGAGTCCTTCTGGGTTTCAGCCCTGGAGGAGGCACACTGTGAAAATGGCCATGCCTCCACTTCTCCTGTTGCGTCCCTAAGTGGGCTTCCCTTCAGTGATGACAGCGAGTGACCAGGTCTACTTTTTTAGGAGGCAGGAGTTCTCCATGGGAAAAACTTCCCATTTCGATGTTTTCTCCCTCAGGCTGAAATTCCTCAATGTTCCCATGGCCAGGTTGACTAGTCCCCCTGCCTGCTCTTGGGCTAATCTTCCCCAGTGCTACCTCAGGTTGGGTCTCAGGACCTTGAAACATTGCTGGAGTCTGAGCTGTTTCAAAAACAGTTTCATACTTGAAATTGGAATCTGAATCACCAGTACAACCAACACAGGATGCTCCTGAAGTTTGACATTATATGCCTGATAATTCCCTAACCTTCGGGAGTGGCTTTTGGGGCATGCAAGAGGGCTACAATGGGGAAATAGGAGAAGGAACATTCCCTTGTACAACATATGTGCTTGTTGGGATCCAACACATAGAGTTTGTTTCCATTTTCTCTTAAGAAATATGCCAAAGCCATTTACAGGATTTGTGTTTAGTTGGCAACCCAGCTCAGTTTCTATTATTTTGTAAATATATATCTATTGTTTTCATTTTCTCTTTATTCTTTTTAGAAATACTACAATAATAATCTTCAGGAATTATTCAGCATTCATAGGAACTTTTACTGTCAATGCTGCAAGTTTTCCCCAAAACATACATCACTTGCATAAGTATGCCCACTAATGGGGGAATTTCTCATCCTCTCCTCCCCTCTGCATCCCCTTGTTTGCCCAAAAAACATCTGCTAAGGGACAGGGGGTGCCCAAGAAAGGGGGTGTGCAGTGGAAATAAGGTGTGGAAATGCAGTGGACAGTGGAAATCAGGAAAAATTGGCTGAAGACATATGGTGACTAAGGTACAAGGAACACTTGTTCCCAGCCAGCTGCCCTACAGATATGAATGGCATATGTATTTGTCTTCACTGCTGGATTTATCAATTTTTGTTTTGCATTTATTTATTCATTTTATTTATTTCCATTTATGCATGCGACTGACATAAAATCATAGAATAGCAGAGATGGAAGAGGCCATAAAAGCCATTGGGTCCAACGCTCTGCTGTTGCCAGACACCATGTTACACCATCCCACTCAGATGGCTGTCCAGTTTCTTTTTGAATGTTTCTAGTGTGGGAGAACCCACGACCTCTCTAGGCAGCTGGTTCCACTGTTGTATTTCCTGATGACTAGCCTGAATCTGGTTGGTCACATTTGAATTGATTATTCTGTGTCCTACACTCTGGCATCAGTGAGAAGAGACGGCTTTTGAGGTACTTATAAAGGGATATCATACCCCCTCCCACGTCTTCTTTTCTCAAAGCTGAACATGACCAGTTCTCCCAGTCTCTCCTTATAGGGCAGTGTTTCCAAACCCTGGATCATATTTGTTGCCCTCCTCTGGACCCTTTCTAATTTTTCTGCATCTTTCTTAAACCTTAGCGCCCAGAACTGGACACATTATGCCAGGTGAGGTCTGACTAGTGATAAAATGTGGATAATTGTGCAATCCAGTCACGTGCAACTGGCATGCGTGCAGTAGGAAAATAGGCTATGATGGTGTATTTTCCTTCCCAGTCATGTGAACCCATCCACTGTGATTAAGAATCCACAAAGAATGAAATGTCTACTATAGGCACTCATCTAAATAGTTTAAATCATTTCAGTCTCTTGATAGAAAGTTGTCTAGAAGTAAATATATTTGATGAGTCATTTAGGAACACATCAATAGATCATTTTACAGCACATTCATTTATAAATTTTAATATAGTTTATATTAAGTCAGTACAGTTATATTTTGAAATACAGTATTATTTTCCTTATTGCCAATATGAATAATCTATGCAGGTTAAGAACACTAATAAGTACTTAACAGTATCTTTCAGTACAAAAGTTTTGTATACGTCTGATACTTTTGCTATTTCAGAGGAATGTGAAATCTGCTTTAAAATAACTTACCATGCTCAAGGAAGCACAACATACCTTGCACTTTCAACAAAGGATTTTGATGCTGCCACACGCAAATGTTTTTTGCCAGCTAAATTTTCCATTATACTCTTTCCTTGTGTACAAGCAGCAATGCTCAACATTTCTTGTCTCAATGTATAATCATTCCTGTATAAAAAGCCCAAAGTTTTATGAGTTGAACTTTTTATTTATTTATTTATTTAAAACATTTCTATGCCGCCCCCATCACAATAAAGCCTCGAGGCGGTTTTTATTATTATGGACCAATAACTTGGTTTTTAACATACCCGTCAACACAGAGCATTCACATTCTCTGAAAAAGCAGGTTCCGTGGTATGCTGTGAGAACAAGATTGTCTGAACCGAATGAAATTTTAGATTCCAGACTTTGTGCTATCAAGCTTCTCTACCCTGCAGCTTTTAACCCAGTTCCTTTGTTCGATCAAGATCAGCTCCTTTACAAGATTTACCCCTCCCCCACAAGGATTTTCTTTCTGTGTCCCTGCTCCAAATATATTCCATGATATAACCACAAGATGGCACTGTGATACATTGTAGAAATACATTTTCATTCTGTTTCATACCACTATTTTCAAATAATACCAGATTTTCCTTGCTCCGCAAAAGCTATGCAAATTTTTCAAAGTCATGGGAGATGGCCGGAGAATGACACCATTGTTTAAAACATTCATAAATTGCTATGAGTAACCAACTGCAAATGTTGGGAAGCCTCCAGGCTTCTATTCTCTTATAACAGGTAAGTGCTGAAGTATGAGAGAAAGCGTTAAATTAAATACTCAAATATCTGTTTTATTCTTATTTGGGGATTAAACTGATTATGGAAGGCAACATTATGCAGGAATAATGAATTTGTGATGATTGAAAAAACTGGCAAAGTATAGGCAAACATAATACAATCTCTTAACATGGTTACCACAACATCATTCCATGTATTTCCATGCTTCCTCCTCTTCATTATTCCATTGTTTTGACATGAATACCCCCATCCCTTCCATGCTTTGATTTAGCAATGGTGGAGCTGGGCAGAATAAGCAACTGCAGATACTGTAGACATCAATTCCCAGGATGCCTGACCACTTACAATGCTGGCAGAGGCTTTTGAGAGGTGAAGTCCATAACATTTCATTTATTACATTTATATTCCTCCATTTTTTCCCTCCTGCAAGAAACCCAAGGTGGGATACATGATCCTTTTCTGTTCCATTTTATCCTCACAACAACCCCATGAGGTTGGCAGTTGCAAGGATAAAAATGTTGCCAGTGACTGGCACGAAGTCTCTCAGTGAGCTTCACAGCCTACTGCAAATTAGAATTTGGATCTTCAGTCCAGAGCTCTAACCACTACATTATATTAGTTCTCATTTGGGGATCAACATTTTGCCTACCCAAGGTATAGCATAATTAATATATTTAACATATTTATTAACCACAGCTGACCTTATATCTAGTACTTTATGTATAAATGCAAACTCTGTTTACTAAACAATTGTTTGACAGCAATGGATAATTTATTCTTATTTACCTTTACACCATATTTTACAGCCAAGAAATGATTTTTCTTGTAGCTGGAGCCAATGTACATGTGAGAAACACAATGTTTAGCCATCAATGGTAGTGTGAATTCATGTAGAATTCAATCTTCTAAGCTGTGGCTGCAGCCTAACATGTTTGAAGAAGGCCTCAGAATAGCAAGGTACTTCCTGGGCTGTTCCTTTCTCCACACTGCCTTAGCAAATGATTCTCACGCCATACTAACATCTGCATGACCTTTTCCTCATGATTAGCCTGAATACCACAAGTGATCTTTATTTTCTAAAGAAGCTCAAATGTTGTTATAGTCATGATCCACTCTATTAAAATTCAGAGTGTTAAATTTTATCAAGTATAACCACTGATTTGGCCAGTTTGATTCTGCCTGTGGGAAAAGATGAAATATTTCAAATCACAGGGTAATTTCCTCTCTATTTACGTAAGTGTCTGTAGTGGTTTTCTGGCAGAAACACTATGTGACCATTTCTGTACATCATCTGTAAAAGCCTAAATATCAGTCTGAAGTGCTAGATTTAAGTTTTGCAGTCTCTCTGTCCTGGCCTGAATGAATAAACACTTTCAATTCTCCAGGGCCTGATGAACTCCATCCCAAAGTGGTAAAAGAGCTAGCGCAGGAACTCTCAGCACCGTTGCCTATTATCTTCAATAAATCTTTGATAAATCTTGGAAAACAGGAGAATTGGCAGATGACTGGAGAAGGGCAAACGTGGTCCCTATCTTCAAAAAGATGTACCAGGGATCTATAGGCCAGTTAGTCTGACATCAATCCCTGGACAAATTCTGGAGCATATTATTATTAAATAATCCATCTGCAAGCATCTTGAAGAAAATACAGTGATTAATAGAAGCCAGCATGGATTTATCAAAAATAAATCCTGTCATTAATCTCATTTTTGACTGGGTAATCTCCCAAATGGACAAAGGGATCACTGTGGACATAATCCACCTAGCAAAGTTTTTGACATAGTGCCACATGACATTCTGATGAGCAAATTAGCAAAAACTGGACTAGATGGAAAAACTATTAGGTGGATCCAAAATTGGCTGCTAAATTGGACACAAAGAGTGCTCATCAATGGCACCTTCTCAAATTGTATAGAGGAAACTAGTGGGATGCCACAGGGTTCAGTTCTGGGCCCAGTGCTCTTCAACATCTTCATTAATGATTTAGATGAGGAAGCACAAGGAAAAAGAATCAGATTTGCAGATGATACAAAACTGGGTAGAATATTAAAGAAGACAGAATGAAGATTCAGGGCAATCTTGATAAACTTGAAAACTGGGCTGAAAGCAACACAATGAGATTCAATAAGGACAAGTGCCAAGTCCTACACCGAGGAAAAAGAAACCAACTGCATCGATACAAGATGGGGAATATGTGGCTCAAAAGAACTGAACAAGAAAAAGATCTCTGAGTAATTGTGGGCAATAGGCTAAGCATGAACCAACAATGTGATGCAGTCACCAAAAGGGCAAGTGCTAGTTTGGGATGCATTAACAGAAGTATTACTTCCAAATTACAAGATGTAGTAGTTCCCCTGTACCCCTCACTAGTCAGATCTCACCTGGAATACTGTGTCCAGTTCTGGGAGCCAAGATTTAAGAAAGATGGAGGAAAATTAGAAAGGGTCCAGCGGAGAGCAACAAAAATGCTCCAGGCTTTGAAAACACTGCCCTGTGAGGAGAGACAGAGAGAACTGGGCATGTTCAGCCTTGAGAAGAGAAGACTGAGGGGGCATATGATATCCCTCTATAAGTACCTCGAAGGCTTTCACAGAGAGGAAAGTCAAGATCGTTTCTCACTGATAGCAGAGTATAGAACATGGAATAATCAATTCAAGTTGCAACAACCCAGATTCAGATATCAAGAAAAGCTTCCTCACTGTCAGAGCAATACAACAGTAGAACCAGTTGCCTAAAGAGGTCATGGGTTCTCCCACATTCAAGGTGAAACTGGATAGCCATCTGAGTGGGATGGTGTAACTTGGTGTCCTGCAACAGCAGGAGGTTGGACTCGATGGCCTTCATGGCCCCGTCCAACTCTACTATTCTATGATTCCATGAGTTTTACAAAGTAGAAAGCTAACTTTTGCTACAGCAGTGAAGTTAAGATTATACAGACACAGATGTTTTCTATACATATTTTTTTCGTAAATACGGATTATACAAATACAGGTGAAGAACAGGCACATCTTCAAAATCAATGGATAAAATGTTGGCCCATTTCACATGTAACAGTAACCCATGGCTTTTTTAAAACCTTGGGTTATAGCATGAGTGAGTCACTGTATCTTTTCTTTTGTGGAGAGATGAGCTGAAAAATAAGCATTCACTTCAACTTTCTGGTCTTTTACTGAAGACTGCAACTTCCTACAGCTGGTTTTGTTTTTAAAAAATCATTGGGACAAAATTATACACAATTATATAGCAGGTAGAATAATATAATGCATAATAATTATGTCCATTAGGGGTCAGTAAAGTTCTATTTTGTACATTCTGAAGAAAAAAAACATCTGAAAACATGGTTTCCATTCCTCCACCCCTGCCACTCCACAATATTGTCTGTTCAGTACAAAAATTAAAAATGAGATATATTTCTAAACAGCATGAAGAACTTTTGCTTTAAATGTGAATTTAAAAATGGTAAAAGAATGATAAAATTATAAAATGATAATTTCCTATAATTAGATCTGGAAACAAGAATAAAATTGCCAGAATATTTCACAAATTATATATGTTTTATATAACCATCTAGATTACAAAAATATGTGTTAAGAAAATACATTTACAAAACTGTTATTCAACAGAGACTAGGAAGAAAAAAATGGCCACCAAGGTCTGGTGCAGATATAATGCAAGAAATCTTGACTGACATGGGGATGCTAGAGAAAACTACAGTGGTTTCAAATAAGTTCAGTTTCTATCAATCCTACCTGAAGATTCCACAGTGGACTGGCTTTTTCTAAGTTGCACAGACTTTCAGACTTTTTTTTTACTCTATGTAACTATATAATTAGTCATATAAAGTAGAGAAAATATGAAAAAAACCAAACTAAAAATGTGCCTTTCTCCCTTAGTTGACACATGAAAATGTGGATTGCGAGAGATTTGTGCAAATGCACATATTCAGAAGTACATATGTATGCAAGTGTACACTTTCCAACATGGATGCAAGTCCAGAAAATTAAGAAAAAACAATTACATCAATGGACAGGCAATGGAACAGGCCACAAACCATCAATAAAACTGATTTAACAATCAATCTCTTATACATAGTCAAGAAATAAGCTCTGTTACATCTGCATTATACATGGTTAATTTTCATCGTAAATCAACACGTATAATTTCCATCTACTTACATTTCTTTTTTCTTTGTATCAGTGTTGTAAGGCAAATTATCATCCATTTCCAAAATCTTTTGAGAGCACATCATCACCAGTTCATGATCATGGATAGTGTGTGCAAAATGGGTAAGTCTGGTGAGTGTCTGGAGTTGTACTAGTGAGTCTGGCCAGTTGCACTCTAAAGCCATTTTCACCAACTGCAGATAAGATTGGATAATAATACATTCCTGAATCCACAATGTTAGCATTTAGTACTTTTAGATTAACTTATTTCAGAAACTGTACTCTTGTAAAGAATGGTCCAAGGGCACTGTATGCTAGAGAATTCCAGAAACAGTGCAGCTGTGGGCCTATTTGGAAATGTGTGATGACAAACCTTTGGGAGGTATGTGTAGCAGGCCACTGAGAGCTCTGCACTGAGATGTTCAGTGAAGACTGTACTGTCAAAACTACTCAGAGCTGCCAAAAATGTGCTTCTCTGGCTTTTTGGATTATGTAAGTTGCCTAGTGCACTGTCTCTGTTGCATTTATTCTACTGCTTACGTTGGTTGAGAGTTTATATTTTACTAGCAAAAGGACATGGCTTTCTGTGGATTGATTAGCCATGGATTAGATACAGAAAAACTATTTAGCAGCTGTCAAATTGGACACATTGTGCCTGTCCCTCTAAATGAAGCCATGCCTGCTGACACACTCAGGCAGGGTCCCTGCTGTGATGATCCTCTACAGCCTCCCTGGAGGAGGCTGTCCCACAGCACAAAAGGCTAAGTGCCTAACTGTTCTCTTACCTACTCACCTCCCTAACCTCAAACAGTATGGACTGCAAAGCTTGGGGTTGTTAGGAAAGTCTAAGTCCCTGGGGACTGGCAATGTTAGTGCTGGCTTTACTCACATGAGCACATTTCGATTAGTTTAAGTTAGTAAGTTAAAAAAAATAAGCAGCCCCTTAAAGTGCACACCCCTAGGTTCCCTTTGTATGCTTGGCAAGTTTCAGGTGCCTAGATTTCATGGTCTTGGTGTTACAGCACTGAGAGTGCCACACAATCAATTTTGTTATAATGCTAGAGAAGCCTTGATTATTAATAACTGATATTAGAATATTGTAATATTATTTGATGATGACTCATTGAAAAAATTGTTTAATCAGCTGGTGCAAGCAGTACGTTAGTTTTCAAGTTGCAGCATACAGAGGGAAAATAAATGCTCATCAAAATTCAGCTATCCAGAAGAAATACAGATGTATTTAGAAATACATTTATTATAGATTTCAGTTAAAGTGTATTCTATTAACAGATTTAATATATGCATGAAAAAGGAACATACTTGAGCCAAATTGGGAAGTGAGAAGTCCATGAGACCCAAACCATTGCATGAGTACATTTCCAAACCAGTAAAAACTTTTGCCATGGGACTGGATCCTTCATCATTAGTCTGAATAGGAAGAATCATCAACATTCAGAGTTCTTCCAGCTAGAAAGGCATACTATTGATTCAACAAAAAGATACTTTATATTATTTAGTAATCTGTATTCATAGGACATATTTGGATTACTCAAACTAGGGCTCTATCTTTACCATCATCTCAAAATGTTATTTTCTGTGCAAGAACACAATATCGTGGAAGAAGATTCCATTGTGTGTCCCACCTGCAGTCTGAAATGATAGTGTCAAAACAAAGATTTAGTACCCCCATTTGCACTTTGTGATAACTAGGCCGCAGATTCAAAAGTATGCCTGTAGTTTTGCCCACCCTTACAGAAAGGGTCACTAACTCTGAGGTCTCCAGACACCAATTTCACCTCCCTAGAGCTCACAACTATGCTACTATGCATCCAGCTGCACAACTGCACCTACCCACACTCATACATATGGACAAGCTCACCCTCTCCCATGACCCCATCCCTGTAACTTCGATCATGATTGCTGAGAAGATCACAGAGTTATTGGGATACAAGGGATGGGATGTGATGGTATGGGGAGGCTTTATCCTTGTTTCAACCCTCCTCCTAACCCCAGTGATCAAAAGCAAATTGTGCTGAGAAAGAGGTGTGCCAAGGAAGCCAGCTGGGAAACCAATAGGGATAACTTTCATGTCATTTCCTAGGAGAATTAGGCTCCTGACAGACAGCCAAGCAGCTGAGTGACAGACTGGCATGTTTTGGTGTTACACAAGGCAAACCAATGGCAGTGTGGACATGAAAGAAGGAACATCTTAGGCCCTATCCATCCATACGTGTTTACCTCCGAGGGTTATCTAAAGCTGAGGTTGGTCACTTAGGATATGGTTGTATGAATAAAAATAGCTTCAGCAAGTGGCAAAAACAAAACATTATTGGCACCTGGCTAACAACAAGAGTCAAGGAGTTCTAGAAAGAGGGAGTCCCCACAATGAATGCTCTAGTCTACTTCACATTGACCACATCCAGAAATAATTATGAAATTCTAAAGTACTTTTAGATTAATTATGGAAATGATTGATTAAATAACTCGATAGTTAATTGCTGATAAAGTGTATGCTAAAACATGTATGTGAGGGGGTGTCACACGGAGGTGGGGAGAGACCTGTTCTCCCCTACAGAGGAGGGCAGGACATGTTCCAATGGAGCAAAGCTCAAGGAACCAAGGTTCACTTTGAATGCCAGGAAGCACTTCCTGACAGTTAGGATTCCAAGGGTATGGAATGGGCTTCCACGGGAGGTGGTTGAGGCCCCATCGGTGAGGGTGTTCAAGGATAGGCTAGACATGCACGTGGTAGGCATGTCATGAGCAGACCCAGATGGCCCAGGAGGCCCCTTCTAACTCATTCTGTTCCTATGTATTTGTATAGAATTTAATGTTTCTAATTAATGTTTGAGTTGACATTGCATGAATGTTCTTTAAATAAATGTAATAGAAAATATTTAGGGTCCCTCATGTCAAGACTGCTCTCAATAGAAGCAGTATCACAGTTGTGTGCAGCAAAGAATGCCGAATCCTATAATGCAGATATGGAAACTTTTTTCAGCCTCAGGGTTGTACTGACTCCAGGCAAGAAAGTTGAGAGCTACATGACAGCAGCAGGTAAAGTCATAGCCCAAAGTAGGTGGAGTTGCCCCATTGTAGGTATTCACCCTTATGCTTGCTGGCACACAAGTGCATGCACATTCCAAATGAAAGTTCACTTACATTTCCATGCTGCACAGTCACAAAGAGCTCTGTTACTCAAGGTACAGTGCAAAAAGGCAGCAAATTTGAAAAAGCATGTTCTTCCGCTATAGGCAGTTCCCTAGATTTCCATTTTGTACACTGAGAAAGTAGTTTAAGAGTCTAATGTAAGGGACAGGAAGGGTACAATGGGCTGCTGCATGGAGGGAACTTGGCATGTAACTGGATGTAACTGGAACCTTATGGGAAGCCACTAAGCATCATCCTTCAGTTATGCAATGTACAGCTTTGGGGACAACCACTAATGTCTGACATTTATACAATGAACTTCCCAACACTTTCATGTTTCAAACAAGGTTTACCAACATATGAGACAGAATTGATACCTCCTCATCAGATCCATGCCACCTCCCAATCTGATGCTGAACCAATTGTCTGGCTTTCACCCAAGTTGCAATGACCTGCTGACGCATAGCAATAGGCACCAGTTCATCAGGCACACTTCCATTAGGCAAATGCATGGCAAATTCACAAACCTAAAAGAGATGTTGTGCAAATGTTGTAGGAAAATTGATGCAAAGGCACTATAAACAAAGGCACTGCTTTATTCTGATGTTATCCAGTATTAATACATTTTCTATGTTCTCCCACCCAAAATTAAAGCTGTGCTTTATGACAAATTTAAATTAATTGGTGTGCTTTAAAAACCAATTATCCTGAGGTGCAAATTCCCATTATCCCCTTAGCATGAATTTGATATCTTGGTTTCACAGTCTTTGCTGTGAAGAGGAGGAAATGCATAATCTTCTATTATTATACATCAGAAGCACACAAATTTTTCACCCTGGAGGGCTGCATTTTTCCTGGACATGCTCATAATAGGCATGTCTTGAGTGGAGCCAGGTGACTAGATGGCCTGGGAGGCCCCTCCTGACTCGCTCTGTTTCAATGTATCTATGTTTACAAGTTCTGCTACCTCAAACTGAATTGTTTTTGTTTCCTGGTGCACTGCTTCAGGACCTCACTCTGACATTGGGGAACTCCCAATAAAAAGTAAAACCATTTGTTTTACTTTTTATGGTGGAAAAAGTGCAGAAAAGTACAAAGGAAATGATCAAGGGCAAGCACCCTATCAGTAAAGGTTACAACAGTCATGATTGTTCAGTTTATAAAAAGGCAAGTAAGAAGAGACTGTTCAGAAATATGCATGGTATGGAGAAAGTGAAGAGAGAAGCATTTTTTCCTTCTCATTTTTAATACTAGAACCTGGTGTCATTCCGTGAAACTAATACATGGGAGATTCAGGACAGACAAAAGAAAATATTTCTTCATACACTGCATCAAAGGCAGTATGCCTGTGCTTTCTGAAACATGGACGGGAGGGAGCTGTTGCACCCATGTCCTGTTTGTAGGTTTCCTAAAGGCAGCTAGTTGGCCTCTTGCGTGAACAGAATGCTGGCCTACATGGACTCTTGGTCTGATCCAGCATGGCTCTTATGTTATTATGCTCAGACATTATCTATACAGTCTATTCATATTTTTTTAAGTGTACCTCAATGGCTGCTTTAATATCGTGTATCCCAGCTGGATCTACAGATAAAGTTGGAACAGAGACTGATTTTTCATATACTTTTGGAGGAGCCTTTTTTCGTTTGGTTGGTCCTTCTTCCATCACTTTCTTTTCATCAGGTTTAGGAATTGGTTTTGGAATCCAAGGAAGAATTAGGCCCCGTGCCAGAGCATTACATAATGTTACTAAAATAGCAGTACTCCTGGATAATATTAGAAACAGAATATGGATATGCATTAATTGTTAAATATGCACATGTCTACTAGAATTAAGTTATGGTGAGATTAATGGTCCTTACCCTCAGGGAAATGTATACAGGGTCATAGCTCAAACATTTAACTAATTCAAGAACAACCTTGGTGACCATTCCTGATCATTAGCTGGGACTGATGGGACTGAAGTCCAGAACTTCTGGAGGGTGTGAGACTGGCAAATGCTGATATTCAAATCTTCTGTAGTTATATCAGTGACTGATAAATACTTAAAATTGCAAAAATTGATAGGCAGTTCAAATAAATAAAAATACATGTAAGACTGATATGTGTTTAGGATGAAGACTGCTTTTCACATAGCATGTATGAAAAATCGCAGACAAAAATGTGAGTGTACCAATTATCTAGAACTTAAATATGGAACTGTATATTTTAAACCAAAAACTCAGTGAGCAAAACCAGTAATTTTTAAAAACATCAGTTTTTAGAAGTACAATGTACTTTGTCATTCTCTATCCACCTCATGTAGTAAAAAAGAGCTCTTATAATAAACTTTTTAAAGCTAAGAGCTACATAACTGATGGTCACTCTCATCTTGCATCAGGATATAATCCTTATTTCTTAACAGAATTAGCCAAAAAGCATGTGAGCCTGTATCCCTGTGAGATAGTCTATAATGCCTGCATCCTGTCAGGGACATATTTTCCAGTTCTGGAAGATGGAACCGCACAGTTGTATACAGCAGGTCTGGTTTATACAAGGGAAACGACCATTCTTGTTAAGCCAGCAGAGATCATGTAGAGGTACAGACTGTAGAAATTAGTGCCACTACATGGGGTCTATTCATGTGATTGCAACAATTTTATGAGCATAGCAACTTATAAAATAGATTCTGCAGTCTGAAAAACTATGGTGGCTGCCTGTACAGGAACCTCACAATACAACTGGCACCTCCATGTGATCTCTGCAAGAACCCTGGCAGTCTTGCATAGTCTTGCTGATTATCAGTTTGGAGAGAAACTATAAGTCTGAACTTGGAAAAAGCAGTTATCAGCATTTCATTAAGAGGAAAATAAGATACAATTGTTGTTGTTACTCGTGAAGTCGTGTCCGACCCATTGCAACCCCATGGACAACATTCCTCCAGGCCTTCCTGTCCTCCACCATCCCCCAGAGTCCACTTAAGCTCATGCCGACTGTTTCAGTGACTACATCCAGCCACCTCATTCTCTGCCATCCCCTCCTTCTTTTGCCATCTATTGTTCCAAGCATTAGGCTCTTCTCTGGGAAGTCCTTCCTTCTCATTAGGTGGCCAAAGTATTTGAGATTCATCTTCAGGATCTGGCCTTCTAAAGAGCACTCAGGGTTGATCTCCTCTAGGGCTGACCGGTTTGTTCACCTTGTGGTCCAAGGGACTTGCAGGAGTATCTTCCAGCACCACAATTCAAAGGCACCAATCCTTCGGCGCTCAGTCTTCCTTATGGTCCAGCTTTCACAGCCATACATTGCAACTGGGAAAACCATAGCCTTGACCATACGCACTTTTGTTGGCAGCGTGATGTCTCTGCTTTTTAGTATGTGGTCTAGATTTGCCATAGCTCTCCTCTCCAGGAGCAAGTGTCTTTTAATTTCTTGGCTGCAGGCCCCATCTGCGGTGATCTTGGAGCCCAGGAAAATAAAATCTGTCACTACCTCCATTTCTTCCCCATCTATTTGCCAGGAAGTGAGAGGACCGGATGCCATGATCTTGGTTTTCTTAATGTTGAGTTTCAAGCCAACTTTTGCACTCTCCTCCTTCACCTACATCAAGAGGCTCTTTAGTTCCTCTTCACTTTCTGCCATTAGAGTGGTATCATCTGCATATCTGAGGTTGTTGATATTTCTCCCAGCAATCTTAATTCCAACTGGTGATTCATCTAGCCCTGCCTTTCTTATGATGTGCTCTGCATTTAAGTTAAATAGGCAGAGCGACAGTATACAGCCTTGCCGAACTCCTTTCTCAATTTTGAACCAATCAGTGGTTCTGTGTCCAGTTCTCACTGTTGCTTCTTGACCCGCATATAGGTTTCTCAAGAGACAAATAAGATGGTCTGGTACTCCCATCTCTTTAAGAACTTGCCACAATTTGTTGTGATCCACACAATCAAAGGCATAGTCACTGAAGCAGAAGTAGATGTTTTTCTGGAACTCCCTAGCTTTCTCCATGATCCAGCGTATGTTGGCAATTTGATCTCTAGTTCCTCTCCCTCTTCGAAATCCTGCT